ACAGCCCAAAGATGACTGCTGGCTCCAGGCATTCACCCCGTCATGCCGGGAGTGGTTTCCTTAACCAGCCCGCTGCAGATGTGGCCCGGCCAGATAAGATTTCAGGAGCAGATATCAATTCCATCTGTCAGGAGGTGAGTGATGGTTTTCATCTGGATCCAGGCTGGGGGTAGGTAAAGACCCTCCCTCTCTGAGATCACTCTACTGCAATCCTTCTGTTCCTCATTGCCTCCCTGGGGTATTGGGCCTGGTCTGTCTCATCCTCCATCGCTAGGAGTGGGGAGTGCAGGGAGTAGATTTTAACTCTCGTCCCTTAACAGAGCGGAATGCTGGCTGTCCGAGAGAACCGTTACATTGTTCTGGCGAAGGACTTCGAGAAAGCCTACAAGACAGTCATCAAGAAGGATGAGCAGGAGCATGAGTTTTACAAGTGACCCCTCCCCTACAACACAGGGCCCAGGGACTTCTCTCACCTCCCCAACTTCCGTCCCCAAACCTAGTTGTCTTTTCTCTTTACCCAGGATTGATTTATTCAATAAATATACAAGATTGAGTCCATCTAGTCTCTTCTTAAAAGTTTAATTCTTTTCATATCCTGGGCCTTGAATAGGATCCTCTGTGCCCCTCCCGTTCTCCTGACTGATGAGTGGGTGAGGTACATACATGGCCTGGGCTGCAGCTTGAGAAGCAAACAATTGGAACAAAACGACTTCAGAAACTTTGGGAAAGGGATGGAAAATGAACCTCAGACCACAGCCATGACCACAAAATAAAGCCCCCATACATCTCCCATCCCCATTTCCTACAGGTAGAAGACTCTGGTCTTTGGTGAGCCCTGCCTTCCTCACATTCAGGGAATATCAATGAAAGAGACAACTCCACAGAGTCCCCCAGAGCAGGGATGGGGTGGGGTGGGTTCTGTTACTATCTCTAGCTCTTCTCCATATGGTCTTTTTTTTTTTTTTATCCTCACCCGAGAATATTTTTTACATTAATCTTGGATAGAGAGGGAGGAAAAGAGAGAGAGAGAGAGAAACATCGATGTGAGGGAGACACAAAGACTAGTTGTGACCCGCACAACCCCAACCGGGGCCAGGGATGAACTGCAACCAAGATACATGCCCTTGGCCGGAATCAAACCTAGGGCTCTGCTCCGTGGGCGATGCTCTTACCACTGAGCTATACCGGCCAGGGCTCCATGTGGTCTTGTCAGGGCACAGATGCATTTGGTTGGACCAATTTCCACTCGAGGTCTCAGTTTAGACACTGCTCCCTCTGGGCAGCCTTCTCTGGTGCCCCTATTTGACAAGGAACCCTTCCTCGCTGTACATCCCTGGCACCGTGCAGGCACTATGCTTGGCTGGACTTTCTCATGTGCTTCCCTGTCCCCTGCCCCAAACAAACCTGTATAGCAGTCAGGGATTATAGCTTGATCACAATTTAAGTCTCAGCACCTACACATAGTAGACATTCAATTTCTTGAGCAAATATATAAATGTCACTATATACTTAGGAGTGAGATGGGAAGAAGGTATAAGGAAAAATAGGGAATCACAGGTCCTTGAAGGGACAGGGGTGATTCCTCCATTGATGGACAGGGCAGGTTGAGCAGAGAAAACTTTTCCTCCTTCCTGGAACCTCCCTAAAAGGAGAGCAAGGTAAACTCACAAGGACACAGGAGGAGAGAAGATGGCAGCAATGCAATTTTGTAGCAGACCTGAGGAAACATGAACCTGAATTAAAGGGAAGCGCAGAAACACTCTCATTTCAGAAATCAGGTGCCAGGTTCTGAAGATGGGCTGGAAAAAGGACTACCTGAAAGGTTATATAAAAATCAGAATTCAGCCTGGCAGGTGTGGCTCAGTGGTTGAGCGTCAACCCATGCACCAAAAGGTCGCCGGTTGGATTCCCGGTCAGGGCACATGCCCAGGTCGTGGGCCCGATCCCTAGTGCGGGGCATGCAGGAGGTGGCCAATCGATGTTCTCTCTCATCGAAGTTTCTCTCCCTCTCTAAAAAAAATCAATAAAGGCCCTGGCCGGTTTGGCTCAGCGGTTAAAGCGTCGGCCTGCGGTCCTGAGAGACCCGGGTTCGGTTCCCGCTAAGGGCATGTACCTCGGTTGCAGTTTGTCCCCGGCTCTGGTCAGTCGTGCGGCCACTCGATGTGTCCCTTTCACGTCGATGTTTCTCTCTCTCTCTCTCTCTGGTCCTCTCTCTCCCTCCCACTCTACCTGAACAAAAAATGGAAAAATGTCCTCAAGTGAGGGTTAAAAAAAAAAAAAAATCAATAAAGAAAAATGACAATAACGACTGTGGCCAGTTTGGCTCAGCGGTTAGAGCGTCAGCCCTGGGACCAAAGAGTCTCAGGTTCAGTTCCAGTCAAGGGCATGTACCTTGGTTGTGGTTCGGTCCCTGGCCCTGGTCGGGGTCGTGCAGGAGGCAACCAATTGATGTGTCTCTCTCATATCAATGTTTCTCTCTCCCCCTCCCACTCTATCTGAAGATAAACAGAAAAATATCCTTGGGTGAGGATAAAAAAAAAAGACAATAACAAAGTCAAAGAAAAATAAAATAGATAAAGAGGATCTTACAAGCTAGTAGGTACTTGGAAGGAGGAGGGTAAAAGAGGGAAATTGCCCAAGTGACAAAACACCCTATACATCGGTGAAAGGTAGAGAGACTAGGAAAAGAACAAAGCCATGTGCCCCAGAAATGACAGCAAATAAAATAATGCAGGGGGCCCTGGCCAGTGTGGCTGAGTTGGTTGGGGGTCACCCTGCGCACCAAAAAGTTTCCGGTTCTATTCCAGATTGAGGCACATGCCCAAGTTTTGGTCTAGATGCCCAGGAGGGGGTGGGCAGGAGGCAGCTGATTGATGTTTCTCTCTCTCTCTTCCTCTCTCTCTAAAAATCAGTAAAACAATCTTAAAAAAAAAAAAATGCAGGGGAAGGATATTGCCACACCCTGCATAAAACATCCTTTTTGGAATTAGGATGGAGGTGCAACTTGAAGCATTTACCTTAAACTCTGTCAGTCAGAGTCCTCATCTCACATTAGCTGGGAGAATGGATATTAGGTTCCTACACTCACTACCTCTTATCTCCAACACCCCTATTTGGGTTCCAACACTCAATAATGGGCAGTACTCATACCCAGATGCCCTCTTCACGCTGCCTGGGCTCTGGAATCCTCCTTACTCTGCTCAGGTTGATAGCCCCATGCTGGTCCATTCCACCACCTGGATGCCTTCTAGGAGGCTATCAGCCTGCACCAAGCCACTCCCCGTATAAACATCCACCTCATCCTGTTCAGGCTCTGAAACCCTGCCCTGAGCCCATCTTAAGGCTTTGGGACTGAATTTGTTTAGAAAGGGAAGGGAAGAGGAAGAGCAAAATATGTTATAATTTGAAATAAAGCAAGTCATTCTCTGGTGAACTATGCATGGTCTTGCCTTTATTATTTATTATTTTTTAATTTTTTATCCTCATCCGAGGACATTTTTCCATTTTTGTTCAGATAGAGTGGGAGGGAGGGAGGGAGAGAGAGAGAGAGAGACAGAGAGAGAGAGAGAGAGAGAGACATCGATGTGAAAGGGACACATCGAGTGGAGAGAGAGAGAGAGAGAGAGAGAGAGAAACATCGATGTGAAAGGGACACATCGAGTGGTTGCCACCCGCACGACCCAACCAGGGCCGGGGACAAACGGCAACTGAGGTGAGTGCCCCTAGCAGGAACCGAACCCGGGTCTCTCTGGACCGCAGGCCGATGCTCCAACTGCTGAGCCAAACCGGCCAGGGCAACATGGTCTTGCCTGTATAAGCCAAGGTTTTCTCTTCAAAGAGTAGGACTAATGAAGTCTGAGCCACAATCCAGAACAACCGACACTTCTTTGGCACACTGCCTTTCCAAGCATAGAGCCATTTCCTCAGTCCAAGATGCTCACGTTTATCTGTCAAAGACTCCTAAGAGCACCAAAAGATTCATTGCATATTTTTATTTATTTATTTTCTTTACTGATTTTAGAGAGGGAAAGAGAGATAGAAATATTGATGAGAGAGAACACCGACTGGCCACCTCCTACCCCACAACGTGGGCCTATGCCCTAACCCAGAATCCAACCGGAGGCCTCTTGGTCCACGGGTTGACGTTCAATCACTTAGCCATCCCGACCGGGCTCATTTCATATTTTAAAAAAGTTACTATGATTTGCATTTTTCTTTATGAAAAAATTCAGGTGACTCTAAAAAAATTATTTGGCGGGTAAATTGCAAATCTTTGGTCCAAATCTTTAAATAAAGCTGATGCTGCAAGAAGATGCAACATATTCTCTTTATTACACAGAACAGGCCAGTGGTGGCATAAGGTCATAAACACACAGTCACGATTCCACTGGCACCCATCATGTCCCACATCTCCAGATATTCAGAATCACACGTACAGCCCGGCTTGCACCCAGTCACTCGACAATCCCAGCCACCCACACAGCGACCCACACATTCCCACCATCCAACACGTGACCCCCGTCGCGGGTAAGCACAGCCACAATCTACCGAACCTGTCACCTCGCTGCTTACAGTCACAAATCAGACTCCCAAGCTACTTTCTGTGACCCACAGCCAGAGAGGCACAGGGGGCCCCCCCACCATTCTTTGACAATACACACACAAAGCTCACGCTGTGCACCGGCAGCCGGGACTACCTCTGGGGAAGAAACTGACAAAATCCGCCGCCTCCCACCTCCCGCGGGTCCCGCACGCACTTGGCGTCAGGGTCGCACCCACGGATGCCCAGCACTGCGGCGGTCGGAGAGGCTGGCACAGCTCAGACAGCACCGGGGGGAGCTGTCCTCAGCTCACCCAGCGGCTGCAGGGCCCGGGATGTAGCGGCCGGGTCGGATCCGCGCGTCTGCGCCTGCGCCCAGGCCTGCGCCTGTGCATTCAGTGCCCAAGACCCCCGGCTCCCGGCTGCGGACTACATTTCCCAGAACCCCCGGGGGTGGTGTCGGCTGCAACCCTGAGGGCCCTCAACGGTGCGATCTGGCTGGTTCAGCCACCACGGCTGGAGAAATCCTCGGCCTAGGTGAGACGAAGTGGGCCTCGTTGGAATAAGAGTGGGGTCGGGGCTGCCACCCAAAGTGAGGAGCCCAGGGGTGCGGATGGGGCGTGTCCAGCCGGGAGCCTCAGGCCTGTGCCTGCGTGAGGAGCAGAGAACTGCGATTGAGCGTGACAAGCGGTGTGCGCGTGCGCGTGCGACTTCAAGGACCAAACTGGGCCTTCGTGGCCGCGCGTGCGCCCTCTCCTCACAGCCCCGAGTGTCCCCAAAGAGGAAAGTCAGATACTGTGTTGAGCCCTAGGATGAGGTTTCCAGCGACAAGGCACAGTCCTGGGCTTGGGATGGGACTTTTTAGAGCTAGCAGGGTCCCTGAGGCGACTTCTAGGACGAAATGATGGGAGGGTCCCTACTTGGAGGCGATGTGGATGCTGCTACATTTTCCATACCTCTAATCCTAGGATTCTGCTGTGCAATCAGATTCCAGCCTCCCTCGCCCATCTGGTTCCGAGTGTGAGATGGAGCAGATGTGGCCCTGGAGGGGATTTTGTCGTCTGTCTGTGACCTAAGAAAGGCCTGGTGTGTCATGAGTTCCTTCTTCCCCAGTCCTGCCGTTCTCCCAAACGAGGCTCCTGAGGAGGAGGGAAGTCGGTGCACCTCTGAAAGCCCAGGTCAGGTGAGTTTGTAGTTCCTCTTTGTCGGTACCCGCATCTTTGTTTTTAGAAAATGGAAACATGATTTCTATTTTCCTGAAGTGTCCAGGGACTATCCGAGCCCTTTTCCCCAGTGACTGATGGGCCATGCAGACCCTCTCATTGGCCCTCAAGTGTTTCCTCCTCATTTTTCAAATCATTCCTCTGCACTCACTGTTTTATAACAGTAAGAAATGCTTATCCTGGAGTCTAAAGTTAAAGATTTGTTTCATTGAGCCCTGGCCGGTTTGGCTCAGCGCCGGCCTGCGGTCCAGAGAGACCAGGGTTCGGTTCCCGCTAAGGGCACGTACCTTGGTTGCAGTTTGTCCCCGGCCCTGGTTGGTCGTGTGGGTGGCAGCCACTCGATGTGTCCCTTTCACATTGATGTTTCCCTCTCTCTCTCTCTCTCTTCCTCTTACTCTATCTGAACAAAAAATGGAAAAATGTCCTCAGGTAAGGATAAAAACAAAAAGATTTGTTTCATTGAGATTAGTGTGGAATCATATCACTGATCTCCAAAACCATAGTTTAAAAGTAAGGCAATGCCCAGCCAGTGTGGCTCAGTAGATTGAGAATCAGTCCCATGGACTGAGAGGTCCTGGTTCAATTTCCCAGTCAGGGCACATCCCCAGGTTGTGGGCTGATCTCCAGTGTGGGGCATGCAGGAGGCGGCCAATTGATGTTCTCTCTCATCGATGTTTCTATCTCTCACTCCCTTCCTCTCTCTCTCTAAGAAATCAAAACATTAAAAAAAAAAAAAAAAAGATTATTCGGGTTTGGATGGAGAGGCCCCTTCTCAGCTCTAGAAGGTGGACATGGACAGAAGAGGACTTTTCAGAGCAGAACTCAATAGTTTGGTCTCAGTTGTAGATCAGCATCATCAGATATTGGGGGGGCCAGAGACCCTTCTGCTGGAGTGCCTGGTCTGGCTTCATGCAAAAGGTCTCTGCTCTGTATCTACACTTGACAAGTGGTTCCCATGGTACAGGAAGGGTTTGGCTTTACCCAAACTCCCTCTTGCCACTCCTGATTTGTATGTGGACCATTGTGGAGATAGAAGTAGAAAGAGGGCAAAACACAATCACTTTAACTTAAGTTATTTTGGGAATTTTGAGACACATTTGGTCTCAAAGCCTCTTGTTTCTTCCCCAGCCCCAGACTGTGCTTCTCCAGTGGAGGACGCCTAGAGAGGACTGACAAGCTCTTGCAGTTCTAAAACCATGGCCCATGTAAGTTCACATTTCTCCTCGAAATATTGTGGTTTTGAATTCACGAGATTATCCTGAGACTTCCTTCGTAAGACAACCTGTTGCCGAACCTGCTCCTCGGTTACTCCGATCACAGTGAACGATGGTGCTATACCGTGACCTAGTGTCTTCCTCATTTGCCTCTCTTTTTTTTTTTTTCATTTTGAGAGTATGTTTACTAAAGCTGGGGGCAGTGAAACAAAGTAGAACTTAGGTAGAAGAAGCAACAGGAGAGAGCCTAGGCAATGCAGAGCACTGGCTCCCTAGAAACATAGGAAAGAAGTCAGCCAAGATGGGGCTGCTGTTAGCTCACTGAAAAGTCAGAGGAAAGGGGGCCTTGGAGACAGGATCAGGGGGTAAGCATGGATGAGCTTCCCCTGCCCGTGGCTCCCCTGGGTGCAAGTCTTGTGGGGACCCTTAGAGTTTAGGAGAGAAAAGTAAGATGCACATCTGAGAGGGAAGACAGGTGTGGGAGTGCTGTGCCCCGGAGAGAGCGTGCTCCGGAGAGAGCCTGCCGCCTCTCCTCTCTCTTGCCTGTGTTTACCGATTCATTTACCTATTCATCACCTCTCCATGTGCCCCGCCTCTCTAAGGAGCATTGACAGAGCAGTGAAAGATGAAGTTTCACAGAGATGATGGTCCCATCAGACTCCACAGACCTGAGTTCTGTAGGTTGATAAGGTGGAATTTAGTGTAGAATGTTCTGCATGTGGTGAGATCTCAGACCTTGAGAGGCTTATAGGCCTGCATGAAGGGATCTCAGGGATCTGGCCAGGGGATCCCCAGAGGGAAAACAATAGGAAAGAGGTCAATTTCATGCTTGAGGAGGTTGTGCTGGTCTCCAGTGGCATCAGTGTCCTCTAGCTCAGGTTCAAGGCAGGTGATCCTGAGGGACAGTGGTGGTAGCCGAAAGGAAGAACCTCTGGATCCCTATTGGGGGGTGATAATAGCCTCCCAGGACTCGGGAAGACCTAAATGCCTAAATATGAAAGAAAGATTAGTCTGGCCCTGGCTGGTTTGGCTCAGCTGTTAGTGTGCCTGCCCAAGGATCAAAGAGTCTCAGGTTCAATTCCCAGTCAAGGGCATGTACTTGGGTTGCAGGTTCAATACCTGGCCCCTGTCGGGTCATGTGGGAGGCAACCAATCAATGTGTCTTTCTCAAATCAATGATTCTCTCTTTTCTCTCTCTCTGCCACTCTATCTAAAAATCAGTGGGAAAATACCCTGGGGTGAGGATTAAAAAAAAGAAGAAGAAAAGAAAGATTAGTCTGATCTATCCATAAAATCAATGATTAGCCAGCCAATAAATAATTTAATTAAAGCCTCTGACATTTGTTATAAGAAAAATGCTTGTGACCTTATCTTGCACAATGATGAACCTGAGTTTCAATGAAATCAAATGCCAATCAAGTCCTGTTTACTAAGATAGAGATTTTAAATTACTTTTGGGGAAAAATAATTCATTCTTTCCTTTTTTTTTTTCATTCCTTGAAGGGAAAAGAGAATGGAACCCACATATATCCAGAACTTAAAATGCAGGTACATGATAGGCAGTATGCTTATTTATATGATTTCATTTCATTGAGAAACTCTGATTTTATTCATTTCTCGACCCTTGGATAATTATGTAATCTCATTACATATAGGACATTTTGTTTGTACCAGCAGTATTCTTTAAAAGCAGCCCTGGCCGGTTTGGCTCAGCGGTTAGAGCATCGGCCTGCGGTCAAGAGAGACCCGGGTTCGGTTCGCGCTAAGGGCGCGTACCTCCGTGGCAGTTTGTCCCCGGCCCCGGTTGGGTCGTATGGGTGGCAGCCACTCGATGTGTCCCTTTCATGTCGATATTTCTCTCTTTCTCTCTTCCTCTCTCTCCCTCCGACTCTATGTGAACAAAAAATGAAAAAATGTCCTCAGGTGAGGATAAAAATAAATAAATAAGTAAATAAATAAATACCCCCATCTCTAGGGAGCTGTGTCTGGCTCCCAGTCATGTTTAAAAAATAAATTAAAATAAAAATAAAAGCATATAGGTACTCTACTTTAGAAATACTGATTTCTTTCTCTCTTTCTTTCTCTCTTTCTTTCTTTCTCTCTCTCTCTCTCTCTCTCTCTCTCTCTCTCTCTTTCTTTCTTTCTTTCTTTCTTTCTTTCTTTCTTTCTTTCTTTCTTTCCCGAGGACATTTTTCCATTTTTTTGTTCAGATAGAGTGGGAGGGAGAGAGAGGAAGAGAGAGAGAGAGAAACATCGACATGAAAGGGACACATCGAGTGGCTGCCTCCTGCACGACTCAAACAGGGCCGGGGACAAACTGCAACCGAGGTACGTGCCCTTAGCGGGAACCGAACCCGGGTCTCTCTGGACCGCGGGCCAATGTTCTAACCGCTGAGTCAAACTGGCCAGGGCCTGATTTCTTTATTTTGACATAGGCTTGAACCCCAGTTTATTTGCTTACTATGTTGCCTCTTTCCTGCAAAGTAGTTTTCCATCTTGAAAATACATTCAAAACAATGGGTCTTTCATTTCAGACGTCCTTGGCATTCAGGGACGTGGCCATAGACCTCTCCCAGGAGGAGTGGGCGTGCCTGGACCCTGACCAGAGGGCCTTGTACAGGGATGTGATGTTGGAGAACTACAGCAATTTGGTCTCATTGGGTAAGGATAAGTGTGCAAATAATTTACAGTCTGTTTTCTGGAATATTAGTTCTCTCCATTGTTGAATTTCAAAGCTGTGTTTTAAGAAACTGACTTTCTGCCCCCTATTTCAAAAGAATGGTTCAAACATCATTGGTTGGAAATGGGCGTTTGCATTCAGCGCCTTCATCTTCCCCATCCTTCAGTGACTGTCACTCCTCCCTCTGGCTCTTCCTGCAACTGCCTGTTCTTCTAAATGATTCTCAGATTGGTTTCTACAACATTTTCAGAGAAGTCAGCTTTCATATAATGTGTATGCTCAGAATTCATTTAGCTGCTCTGTGTTTATGTCTGGCCCACCTGCAAACAGATAGCTAGTCTTTAGGGTTCTGTTTTCTTTTGATCATCAAAAGAACCTCTATGGCTTATATAGTGGTGGACTGGGTTAATATTCATTTAAAATGCAAGCAAATAGCCCGGCTGGCGTGGCTCAGTGGACCGAGTGTTGTCCCATGGACTGAGAGGTCCCGGTTCAATTCCCGATCAGGACACATTCCGAGGTTGTGGGCCAAATCCCCAATGTGGGGCATGCAGAAGGCGACCAATCAGTGTTCTCTCTCATTGATGTTTCTATCTCCCTCTCCCTTTCTCTCTCTAAAAAATCAATAAAGAAAAATAATAAAAGCAGAGCAGACCTTTCCCCTTCTCTATCTGGCCTCTTCAGTCCTATGATCATAGGTCCATTTAAATGTCAATATTCTTCAATAGCCTATTTCATTTTCTCAAGTACCATTTTTTTTTTTATTGATTAATTTTTGTTACAAATGATTCTCCTTTATTCCCCCACTGATTCCCCCCTCCCCCTTCCCTCCCTGCCCCTTCCCCAGGTTGTTGTCCATGTCCACTGTTCATGCATACATGCATATAAGTTCTGTGGTTCATCCCTCTCTCACCTCCCCACTCCTTAGGGGATTGTCCTCAAACTGTTATGTTCATTATATTCCACAAATCAGTGAGATCATATGAAATTTGTCTTTCTCTGTTTGGCTTGTTTCACTTAGGATGATACTTTCCAGGTCCCTCCATGTAGTCTCAAAGGATAAGAGATCTTTCTTTCTTACCGCTGCGTAGTACTCCATTGTGTATATGTACCACAGCTTTTTAATCCATTCGTCTACTGATGGGCACTTGGGCTGTTTCCAGATCTTAGCGATTGTAAATAGTGCTGCTACAAAGATGGGGGTACATATATTCTTTCTGATTGGTGTTTTATGCTTCGTAGGGTATATTCCTAGAAGTGGGATCACTGGGTCAAATGGGAGATCAATTTTTAATTTTTTGAGGTGACACCATATTGTTTTCCATAGTGGCTGCACCAGTCTGTATTCCCACCAACAGTGCACTAGAGTCCCCTTTTCTCCACACCCTCGCCAACACTTGTTGTTTGATGATTTGTTGATGGCGGCCATTCTGACAGGTGTGAGGTGATACCTCATTGTTGTTTTGATTTGCATCTCTCTGATGATTAGTGACGATGAACATTTCTTCATATGTCTCTTAGCCATTTGTATGTCCTGTTTGGAGAGGTGTCTATTTAGTTCCTCTGCCCATTTTTTAATTGGATTCTTTGTCTTCCTCTTGTGGAGTTGTATGAGCACTCTATATGTATTGGAAATTAACCCCTTATCTGATATATCATTGGCAATTATGCTCTCCCATACAGTGGGTAGCCTTTCCGTTTTGATGATTGTATCTTTCGCTGTGCAGAAGCTTTTGAGTTTGATGTAGTCCTCAAGTACCATTTTGACCTACAGTTTAACATAAATATAAGTAAGTCTGAGTTAAGTCAATTGTGAGCTTACAGGTTTTTGTTTGTTTGTTTGTTCATTCGTTCTGAATCATATGGCATTTCTTTCTTGTGAGCAGGATGTTCCTTTCCTAAGCCAGATGTGATCACTTTATTGGAGCAAGAGAAAGAGCCCTGGGTGGCAACGAGGGAAGGGACAAGGAGCTGGTACACAGGTGAGTGATGGCAAATTAGGGAGGGAGCTGCCATCCCAAGTTAGAGCACCCTGGATCCGGGAGAGGCACACCCCTGAGAGGTTGTTTGGAAAGCTCCCTTCGGAGGCCCAAGGCTTCTGGGGAAAAGGCCTGAGACCTGGGAAAATAAGATCCTCTCAACATGAGCTGCCAAAGGAATTGTCCTTTTACCCCCCTTCGCCATGCTCCTTGTTTGTCTTCTCTTCTCTTTCCCTCCATTTCAAAGGGGACTGCTTTCTTTCTTCCCCATTCACAACCATTTACCTATGCTTCCAAGTCTTCTATTTTTTTTTTTATCCTCACCTGAGGACATTTTTTCATTTTTTGTTCACATAGAGTGGGAGGGAGAGAGAGAGAGAAACATCGACGTGAAAGGGACACATCGAGTGGCTGCCACTCCCACGACCTAACCAGGGCCGAGGACAAACTGCAACCGAGATACGTGCCCTTAGCGGGAACTAAACCCGGGTCTCTCTGGACCACAAGCCCACGCTCTAACCACTGAGCCAAACCAGCCAGAGCCTAAGTCTTCTTTTATGGTTACGCTTCTATTCATTTCTCCCTTTCCTAGAATTGTTTTATTCAACACCTATTTCCTGTTTACTTGAAACCAGGCACTGTCTAGAGGCTAGACACTTGATGTCGGGTCCTCCTGTTGTGGAGGTTTTGCTCTTGTAATAAGAGAGACATGTAGTAAAGAGATAAGGTCATATCAGGTCGTTATATGTGTTGTAAAGAAAATTAACCAGCATGTTGGAAGGTTGGCAGGGCTAATTTAGATAATGTCAACAAAGGCGATCTGAGGTGATAACCTTGAACAGAGATATGAAGTAAGGTCTCAGGCCCTGTAACTGATAAGGAAGAACAGTTTAAGCAGCGCAAACAGCTAATTCAAAGGTTCTGAGATTAACTACCATCTGTACTTATTTCCAAACCAGATGGTGTCTGCTGATTTGAACATTCCTAATTACTTGTGTGTTCCTGTGTTTTTAATTCTTTTGATCTATATGACTGTTCTTACGCTAGTACAAGGCCGTTTTAATTACAATGGCTTTGTAGTATAACCTGAACATTGTGAGCCCTCCAACTTTGTTCTTCTTTTTCAAGATTGCTGTGGCTATTCAGGGTCTTTTTGGTTCCTTATAAACTTTTGGAGTTTTTGTTCTAGATCTGTGAAATATGGCATTGTATTTTAATAGGGATTACATTGAATCTATACATTGCTTTGGGTAGTATGGACATTTTAATGATGTTGTTTCTTTCAATCCATAAACATGGTATATGCTTCCACTTTTATATTTTCCTTATTTCTTTTTTCAGGTCATTTTTTAAAAAATCCTCACCTGAGGATATTTTTTCATTTATCTTCAGATAGAGTGGGAGGGAGGGAAGGAGAAAGCGAGAGAGCATGCGAGAGAGGGAGAGAGAAACATCAATGTGAGAGAGACACATCGATGTTGCCTCCCGCGCTACCATGACCAGGGCCACGGATGAACTGCAACCGAGGTACATGCCCTTGGCCAGAATTGAACTCACAACTCTTTGGTCTGCGGGCTGATGCTCTAGCTACTAAGCAAAACTGGCCAGGGCTGAGAACAGGTCTTTTACCTCCTTGGTTAAGTTTATTCCTAGGTATCTTAATTTTTTTGTTATAATGGTAAATGGGATTTTTAAAAAAATTTTTTTTAGTTTCTCTTTCTGAGTGTTCAGTATTGGTGTCTAAAAATGCCATCAATTTCTGGATGTTAATTTTGTATCCTGATACTTTGCCAAATTCATTTAGTAAATCTTATAGTTTTTTGGTGGCACCTTTAGGATATTCTATGTATAATATCATATCATCTGCAAAGAATGATAGTTTCACTTCCTCTTTTCCAATTTGGATCCCTTTTATTTTTTCTTCTTTCTGTCTGATTGCTGTGGATAAGACTTCCAGTACTATGTTGAATAAGAGTGGTGAAAGCAGCCCTGGCCAGTTTGGCTCAGCTGTTAGAGCATTGGCCCATGGACCGGAGAGTTCCGGGTTCGGTTCCCGCTAAGGGCATGTACCTCAGTTGCAGTTTGTCCCTGGTCCGGGTTGGGGTCGTGTGGGTGGCAACCACTCAATGTCTCTCTCACATGGATGTTTCTCTCTCTCTTCCTCCCTCCCTCCCTCCCTCCCACTCTCTCTGAAGATCAATGCAAAAAATGTTCTCTGGTGAGGATAAAAAAAAGAGTGGTGAAAGCAGACATCCCTGTCTTGTTACTGTTCTTAAGGGAAATGCTTTTAGTTATTGCCCATTGAGTATGATGTTGGCTTTGGGTTTGTCGTGTGTGGACTTTATTACATTGAAACATATTCCCTCTATTCCCACTTTGCTGAGAGATTTTATCATAAATGGGTGCTGGATTTTATCAAATGCTTTTTTTTTGCACCTATTCATATGATCATGTGAATTTTATCCTTCATTTTATGTGGTATATCATGTTTATTGACTTGCAGATATTGTACCAACCTTGCATCCCCAGAATAAATCCCACTTGATCATGGTGTATGATCTTTTTAATGTATTGCTGGATCTAGCTTGCTAATATTTTGTTGATTTTATCATCTATTTTCATAAGGGACATTGGCCTATCATTTTTTTTCTTTGAAGTGTTTTTATCTGATTTTGGAGTTAGTATAATGCTGGCCTCATAAAGTAAGCCTGGGAGTCTTCCCTCCTCTTGAATATTTGGGGAATAGTTTGAAAAGGAAAGGTGTTTGTTCTTTGAATGTTTGATAAAATTCACCTGTGAAGCCATCCAGTCCCAGAAAGTTAGATCATTTCCTGAGGTCTCTTGCCTTCTTTCAAACTGCGTTAATAATAATTTATAGTTTTCCAAACCAGTATCCAGAAAACTGACCCAAGGGCATCTGCTTTTGTATGGCTCACAGGCTAAAACTGGTTTTTATATTTTTAGTGGTCAAAAAAATCAAAAGAATATGTTGTGGCACAAAAATTGTATGAAATTCAGTTTCAGTGTTCATAAATAAAGTGTTGTTACAACACAGCCACACTTACCCAGTCACGTACTGTCTATAGCTGCCTTTGTGCCATAACAAGAGCTGTGCAATTGTTTCAAAGACCTTATGTCCTACAGAGCCTACAGTTTTTACCATCTGGCTCTTGACAGAAAAAGTTTGCTGACCCCTGCTCTAAACCTTTACTCTAATGTGTGTATTTTTAGTTTATCTTTTATTTCTACTATGAGGTACAACCCCTCACTCCACTCCCAACACAGAAAAATCACATTACAGCATTTGTTTCCTTTTTCCCTTTATTTATTTATTTATTTACTTTTTTCCAGATTTGGAGTTTAACCATGTCACCAAGAAGTTATTTCCGGAAAAGGATATTTGTGAAATACATTTCTCTCAGTTGCAGACGGCGCAAAAGAGTAAAACCTTCATCATTGAGGACACCGTTTTCAGAAATGATTCGCAATGTAAACATGAATTCGAGAGACAAGAAGGACATCAGATGGGGTGTGTTAGTCAAATGATAATACAAGAACATGTATCTCTTCCTCTACATCAGAAAATTCATGCTAAAGAGAAACCATATGAATGTAAAGAATGTAGGAAGGCTTTTACACAACAGTCCTACCTTATTCAACATAAAAGAATTCACACTGGTGAGAGACCCTATAAATGTAAGGAATGTGGGAAGGCCTTTTGTCGTGTGGGAGATCTTAGAGTACATCAGACAATTCACGCCGGGGAGAGACCCTACGAATGTAATGATTGTGGGAAGACCTTTAGACTTCATTATCACCTCACCGAACATCAGAGAATACATTCTAGTATGAAACCCTATGAGTGTAAGGAATGCGGGAAGGCCTTTAGTCGTGTCAGAGACCTTAGAGTACATCAGACAATTCACGCTGGGGAGAGACCCTTTGAATGTAAAGAATGTGGTAAGGCCTTTAGACTTCATTATCAGCTTACTGAACATCAAAGAATTCATACTGGTGAGAGGCCTTACGATTGTAAAATCTGTGGCAAGACCTTTAGGGTGCAACGACATATTAGTCAGCACCAGAAGATTCATACTGGTGTAAAACCCTATAAATGCAATGAATGTGGGAAAGCCTTTAGTCATGGTTCATATCTTGTTCAACATCAAAAAATTCATACTGGTGAGAAACCTTATGCGTGTAAAGAATGTGGTAAGTCCTTTAGTTTCCATGCAGAACTTACTCGACATCATAGAATTCACACTGGTGAGAAACCTTATGCATGTAAAGACTGTGGGAAGGCCTTTCGTCTTCAAACAGAACTTACTCGGCATCAGAGAATTCATACTGGTGAGAAACCCTACAAATGTAAGGAGTGTGGAAAGGCCTTTATTTGTGGCTATCAACTTACTTTACATCTGAGAACTCACACCGGTGAGATTCCTTATGAATGTAAGGAATGTGGGAAATCCTTCAGTAGTCGCTATCACCTTACTCAACACTACAGAATTCACACTGGTGAGAAACCCTATGAATGTAAAGAATGTGGGAAATCCTTCCGTCTTCAATCAGAACTTACCCGACATCACAGAATTCATACTTGTGAGAAACCCTACAAATGTGAGGAATGTGGGAAGGCTTTTGTTCGTAGCAGTCAACTTATTTCACACCAACGAATTCACACCAGCGAGACTCTCTGTGAATGTAAGGAATGTGGGAAGATTTTTAGTCGTCACTATAATCTTACTCAACATTACAAAATTCATACTGGTGAAAAACCCTATAAATGTAAAGAATGTGGGAAGGCCTTTCGCTTTCAAACAGAACTTACTCAGCATCACAGAATCCATACTGGCGAAAAACCCTATAAATGTCAGGAATGTGGGAAGGCCTTTGTTCGTAGCAATCATCTGACTCAACATCACAGAATTCATACCGGTGAGAAACCCTATAAATGTAAGGAATGTGGGAAGACTTTTAGTCGTCACTATCACCTTACTCAACATCACAGAATCCATACTGGCGAGAAGCCCTACATATGTAATGAATGTGGGAATGCTTTTATCTGTAGTTATCAACTTACCTTACATCAAAGAATCCACACTGGTGAGATTCCATATGAATGTAAGGAATGCGGGAAGACCTTTAGTCGTCGGTATCATCTTACTCAACATTTCAGACTTCACACTGGTGAGAAACCTTACGGATGTAAAGAATGTGGGAAGGCCTTTCGTCTTCAAGCAGAACTTACTCGACATCACACAATTCATACTGGTGAGAAACCCTATAAATGTAAAGAATGTGGGAAGTCCTTCAGTGTTACTTCAGAACTTACTCGACATTATAGAATTCATACCGGTGAGAAACCCTACAAATGTAAAGAATGTGGGAAAGCCTTTATTCGTAGTGATCAACTTACTCTACATCAGAGAAATCATATTAGTGAGGAAACCCTATGTAAGGAAGATACAATGGCCTTTAGAAAATGCCTTTTTAACAGCAGAAAACTCATAATTTAGGAAAATTTTACTTGTTAGACAATATGTGGGAATCCCTCTTGTTTCCTGCTTAAAATTTAACAGTTTTTTGTTTTGTTTTTTAATTTTTTGATGGTATGTGCCCCTAGCAGGAACTGAACCCAGGACTCTCTGGTCCGCAGGCCAACGCTCAACTGCTGAGCCAAACGGGCCAGGGCAACAAATAGTTTTATACTATATATTGATTTAAAGAGTTAGCCCTGGCCGGTTTGGCTCAGCAGTTAGAGCGTCCGCCTGCGGTCCAGAGAGACCCGGGTTTGGTTCCCGCTAAGGGCATGTACCTCGGTTGCAGTTTGTCCCCGGCCCTGGTTGGGTCGTGCGGGTGGCAGCCACTCGATGTGTCCTTTTCACATCGATGTTTCCCTCTCTCTCTCTTCCTCTCTCTCCCTCCCACTCTGTCTGTACAAAAAATGGAAAAATGTCCTCGAATGAGGATAAAAAAATAAAAAAAAAGAGTTGAAAAATTATAGAATCACTCAGTCTTGGTTAAACTTGAGCAGACTGATACAGTGCTTCTCACACCAACGTGAAGAGCTTCCCCCCTTCCCAAACTGTTGTTGACCAATACTTTTATAAAATGCAATAAAATTGGATTACCAGGGGAAAAATGAAATAGAAAGGAAAACACAAAATGAAAGTCCTCATTTTTCATTTTGTTATTATTGAAATAGAGACCTAAATTAGCTGTCATATTGTTGTGAAGATTTCTAAATGCTTGCAGACCAGAAGCAAACAATGTGTGGGCCAGCACCAGTACATGGATCACACTTTATATAGCACTGTAACAGAAAGTTCTGTTAATGTAATGAATGTGGGAGAGACGTTAGCCATGTATATCTTTGCTATGTCTCGTAATTCCTTAGCCTGTGCGATATTTGGCAAAATATTTCCCTCGGTGCCTCAGTTTTTAAATGGTGTTGATAGTACCTACCTAACAGAATTTTTGTGAGGATGGAATGTCAATGAAAACAAAGACAAAATCTTTAGAGGAGTATATGCTCAATAAATAGTGATATTATTAGTAAGTTCGTGTGAGAGGAAGACCCTATGAATGTAAAGAATTTGCGAAGCCTTTCATTACCTTTCACTCCTTACCCAAATTGAGGTAATTGTGTATAAAGTTCAGTAAAGTAAACTTTCTAAAACAAGAATTCATCTCTGAAAACTAATGCAAGAAAAACATCTGTTGATGAGTATGCAATTTATGCAGGTAAAGCTTTTGAAAAATCAGGGAGGGCTATAATGCTTTTTCTTTTCATAGTCTAAAAAGCAGACAAGTTACAGTCTACTTTTTCTGCCCTAGATTCATGATAAATTGGAAACTAACAAGCAAAGAATTTTGGAAATTTAAAATAGTACAATGAACACTGGTATGCCCTTTCCAGGTCCAGTAATTATTAATATATTGTCATCTTTGGTTGGCATCTATATAATTTTTTACATACTATTTTTGCTATAGTGTTTGATTATAAATTGTGAACATCATGGCATTTCACCTATCTATATAGTCATGCAACTCCTAAGAGTAAAGGCTGCCTTCTACTTGTATTACTTCACACTTAACCTAAGGAAATTAATAATCCATAGTCTCTATTATTACAGATACCAGTGCCTTAACCCAACATATCTGAAAGATTATCTCTGGAAACAGTAGTATTTAATGGTACTTCAAAAATGTTCTGTGGTCACACCGGCTTGTGAAGTTTTGAATACCAAATCCCTTCTAGGGAAGAAGATGCTTATTATCAGGCTATCAAAAGATTTAAAAGTCTTACACTAAAGATAAGTTGCCTAGCCCTGGCCGGTTTGGCTCAGCAGTGAGAGCACTGGCCGTGGTCCAGAGAGACCCGGGTTCGGTTCCCGCTAAGGGCATGTATCTCGGTTGCAGTTTGTCCCTGGCCCGGTTGGGGTTGTGTGGGTGGCAACCACTCAATGTGTACTTTTCACGTCAATGTTTCTCTCTCTCGCTCTTCCTCCCACTCTATCTGAAAAAAAAAAAAATCAGTTTGACAGGAATACTATCAAATTGAGTATTCCTATAACTTCACTCTAAATGTTTTATTTTTTATTTTTCTAATCTTCACCCGAGGGCATTTTTCCATTTTTTTGTTCAGATAGAGTGGGAGGGAGAGAGAGGAAAAGAGAGAGAGAGAAACATCAACGTGAAAGGGACACATCGAGTGGCTGCCACCCGCACGACCCAACCAGGGCCGGGTACAAACTGCATTCAAGGTACATGCCCTTAGCAGGAACCGAACCCGGGTCTCTCGAGACCGCAGGCCAACACTCTAACCGCTGAGCCAAACTGGCCAGGGCTAGATACATGTTTTAATATGTTCTCATAAATTTCTATTTCAGTTGAGCATTTTTTCAAATATGTTTCTTGGCCAATCATCATTTCTTTTCTTTGACTTTCCTATTCTTGACTCTCTCCATTATTTTTGTTCTTCCCCCACCCACCCCCAATTGACATGAATGGCATTCTGGATACTTCATTTGCTACATCAATACAATTATTATCTCCTCCATTAAATATAGCATTGGTTATCTATCTCCTGAATACTCATTCTAGTTTCATGAGGCAGATTCCTAGGTTATAAGTTGTATAATCTGGAAATAAAATGTTATTTTTTCCCAATATTTATTACTTTTAATATATTAGTATATTACTTTATTTTTCTTATTGCAGTAGCTAGAGTCTTCAGAACAAGATTGAATATTATGGTATACAATGATCAGTTTCTCCAAATGTAATGGAAAATTTTGTAACATTTAGTCATTTACTATAATTTTTACTATTTATTTGAAGATTAATTATCTTTGTTGCCTCTAAATAATTTCCTGCAACATATTTCAGGGGGGATACATACTTTGGTAGTGACTACTGAATTTTGTTCAAGGATGTTGTGTTATCTGTTGATATAGCCTTATTTTTTTTCCCTTAAATCTATCGATGTATTGATTTTTACTTAATAATTTCTTGAATTTCAAACCTTTCTTGTAATGCACTGTGATTTTTGTCATACTGCTGGACTCCATTTAGTAATATCTTAAGAATTTTTCCACGTTGGGTCAAATGTGAGGTAGTATTAGAGTTTCCTTTTTCTTTGATAAGATTATAGAATTGTAACGAACTGTTCTTTAAAAACTAGAAACAACTTGTCTTTAAGATATAATGAATTTTTAAATATTGAATTTGTATTTTATAACCTTGCTAAATTCACTTAGTTCTCAAAAGAGTTTATCTTTTATACATTATTTAGAGTTTTCTATAAACACAGTGAAGGCATCTGTAAAGACAGTTCCTTTTTTTGCCCTGGCCGGTTTGGCTCAGCGGTTAGAGTGATGGCCTGCAGTCCAGAGAGGCCCAGGTTCGGTTCCCGCTAAGAGCACATACCTCGGTTGCAGTTTGTCCCCGGCCCTGATTGGATCATGTGGGTGGCGACCACTTGATGTGTCCCTTTCACATTGATGTTTCTCTCTCTCTCTCTCCCTCCCACTCTATCTGAACAAAATATCAAAAAATGTCCTCAAGTGAGGATAGAAAAAAAAAAGACAGTTCCTTTTTAATTCTTATTTTCTTCTATTTCCATTACTTGCCTTGTTGCACAGGCTAAGACAGTGTTTACTAGAAGCATCAGAAAAGACCTTGTTTCTGACCTTAGGGTAAAAGCATTTAACATTTTATTATAAATATTATGTTAGCTGCTTATTTTCCATAAATATCCTTTATCAGATTGGGAAAGTTGATGTTGAATTTTGTCAAATACATAAAAAGCAACAATTGATATAATCTTTTGTGTTTAAAATTTTTTTGTTATTGTAATCTTTTGGTTTCTCTCCTTTGATGTGGTGAATTACTTAAATTTTAGAATGTCATACCAGCCTTGCATTCCTAGGTTGTGCCCACTTGGTCATGATGTATTATCCTTTATATATATTGTTGAATTCCATTTACTATCTATTTTTTGGAGATGTTTTGTATATTTTTATTATTGATATTGGTCTGTAATTTTTTTCTTATATCTTTCTCAGGTTTTAGTATCAGTGTTAAGTTAGCATCATAAAATGAGATGGGAAATGTTCCTTCTTTCTCTATTTTCTGAAAGACTATTGTAAAATTCATATTCTTTATTTCTTAAATCTTGGGTCAAATTGATTTTGGAACTATTTGAGTCTGAGAGGTTTTATTTATTTTTTAAATATATTTTTATTTATTTTTTTTAGAGAGAGAAGAAAGGAGAGAGATAGATAGAAACATCCATATGCCAGAGAAACACTGATAGACTGCCTCCTGCATGCCCCCTGCTGTGGATCAAGCCCGAAACCTGGGCATGTGCCCTGACCAGGAATTGAACCCAGACCTCTCAGTCTATGGGACGACACTCAATCCACTGAGCCACACTGGCCAGGCTGGAGATTTTTGTAGGAAGAATTTATAGTTCCAAGGATAATATACTTTCTCAAATTGAATTTTCATATCACAGCAAACAAAATTAAATTTCAAAGGGAAAAATTTCTTGCCCTGGCCAGTTTGGCTCAGTGGTTACAGCATCGGCCTCCAGACCAGAGAGTTACAGGTTCAGTTCCCGCTAAGGGCACGTACCTCAGTTGCAGTTTGTCCCTGGTCCTGGTTAGGGTTGTACGGGTGGCGACCAGTCGATGTGTCTCTCTCATATCGATGTTTCTCTTTCTCCCTCTCTCCCTCTTGCTCTATCTGAAGACAAATGCAAATATATCCTTGAGTGAGGATAAAAAAAAGGGGAGGGGGAAATTTCATTTATAAAGAACATAAAATATTTAGGAATAAATTTAATAAAACACATGCAGGATTATGACTTGAAAATTATATGATTTTGCTGAGAGAAGTTAGAGAATACTTATATAAATGGAAGATTTGTCATAATCGTGATGAATAGACCTAAAAAATGTTTAGAAGTCATTGTCCCCAAGTTGATCTATACATTCAGTGTAACCTAATCAAAATCCCAACAAGCTTTATTTTAAAGAAATTGCTAAATTGATATAAAACATGCAGAAATGTAAAGGATTTAGAATA